GGAAAGGGTACTGTAGTTTTGGCTGCCACTTATCCCAGGATGGGAACAGACGTATGATGCCATTACGGCGGTATCAGGAAGTTCCCACCCCCTTTAGCTAGGTATAGTTAATTCATCTGTCCATCTGCTTGGCACATTTGTACGGGAGATACACAAAGCTGATCCAGCTGCTTATCTCCATGGGGAAACCTCCACGTCCGACTTAATTGCTGCAGAGACAGTTGCGTGTGGAGGTTATGACCTTGCGGGGTGAGGCGTTGAGGAAGTGAAGCATGCCCTTAACACGACGGTTCTGTTCACAAGCCCGGGATGATAAAGGACAAAGCAGTGACCCGTCTCTCCCGATCTAGTGTGCTCCAAATGGCATGGGCTCCCTTTAGAAATATCCCCTCAGGGCCAAGAACGTGGAAGGTCTGGGAGCCAACGCAGCGTTGCGATGCATCCGAATCCTCACTGGTTATCTGGACTCTGTGGAACAGGTTTCTGCTTGTTTTGGGGTTTTTTTTAGGGAGGAAGCATATTCCCTAAACCCCAATTTATTTCTGGCTGTGGTAGGATCAGGACCCCCTCACATAGCTCTTGTCCCCTGCCTTCCCCCTCAGAATTAATCAGGATGTAAGGAGTGAGTGTGCAGACACGGGGGGGAAGGTGGATGAGTGTGAGCACAGGAGTGGGTGGTGATGCACAGGCAAACTGCACGTGCGTCTTGGCAGTGGCAAATCACTTACAAGAAATCTGGCAGGGGGTGCTAACTGCACTCCCTGGGGAGATGTTTCCTAGCCTCCTGGCAGCTGCTTTACATACTTAATAGTCCTGTGCGTCACGGTGGTTCATAGACTTTTCATAGCGGGGACCACAACTTAATAGCCATACGGTCATGTGGGGACTTTCCTTTCCAATTTGCTAACACACCGGCTCCAACTGCCTTCCCATCCACTGTCGAACGTCTCTGTGGTGTCTTAAATCCTTAGATAGGAAAGTAGCATGGTGGGTGGCAGAGTGTGAACATCCTCAGGGCTGCTCTTGGTGCAGTTTAGCATCTGGAATCGAAATGTAGGGTCAGCCCCATGCAACAGTTTCCAGATCCCCTTTGGAAGCCACTGACATGGCATTATCCATGCCTTCCCTCAGAGATCAGTACTGGATAGGTGTATTTTCACACTGTCCTGTGCAGGTAGGACTTGCTGGAGTTGGAAGCAGGCATTTTAAAAAATGTTATATTTTATTTTATTTTATTTTATTTTATTTATGTGCTATCTATACTGCTCTTCCCAACAAAGGCTCAGGGTGGTTTGTAATAAGATGTCACGTAAAATAACTTACCAAACAGGAGAGCAAGAAGAGAGCAAAACAGCGTGAAAGGGAACTAGAATGACAACATAAACCGGAGACCCCCTAAACAATATCTCGGCCTAGTTTTGTTTGCTGCACCAGTAGGAAAGGCTTGACAACACTTCCCAGGGATGGACAGGCTCCGGCTGTGGCGGCCCTCGAACAGCCGAGCCACCCTCCCATCGTGAGCCCAAAAAGTGCTAGGAAAAGAAGTCAGGTTGCTGATGTGAGGGCCTCTGTGCTACGGGCTTCTGCTGCTCCAGTGGCGTTCATTGTGAATTGTGTTTCTTTGTACCATAGGGTGGACATACATAAGAACTGCCATTTATTGGCCTACCTGGCCCAGTCTCCAGTGTCACACGGTGGCAGAGAGTGGATGCCAAAAGGGAGAGTGAAATGGGTCTGACCAGGGCTTTTTCCCCAGTTTCTCTCTCACTTGCAGCCTCCAGCATTTAAGGTCTAGGATATTCTGATTCAGAGGCCGTGTCCCTCACTGCCATGCTCAGTAGCTATTGATATCCTTCTCCTCCCAGAACATGCCCCATCACTTTGTGGATCTGGCTAAGCTGTCAGCTTCCACCGAACCGGGTGCAGCAAATCCTACCCTTGAATGGGTGAAAAAGAACTGCCCTGTGTTTGTTTGAAACTTTCTACCTACTCATTTCATTTCATGCCCCCCTAGTTTTGTATTGTGGGAGTGAGTAAATAATACATCCCTCTTGACTTTATTTTGGTACATGGACTCTCTCTTGACTTTTTCTTATCATGTCCCTCTTCAAGTGCCTCTTTTCTAGTCTTAGCATTGGGTGAGTTGGTTTGAAATTTGGCAGCTTCTCCTGGTCAAGAAGTAGCGCTGGGACAATTCCAGCTGAAAGACCTTTCCTTGATGCAGAGCAAGGATGGGACTGACAACATCCAGCTTGTGTCTACTACTGCCCAGTTCCTGCCCAGAACTCAGTGTAGGGGAATGGAGAAGCAGGCTTTGTTCAGTAGGAAAGATACTATCTGCACAGCATCTCTGAGCATGAGCTGGGAACAAGTTTCAGCATTATATAGGACAAGGATCGCAGCACTTCTTTATCTTTTGTCTGCAATTTCTGGTTTTACCGGCCAGGGTGGTTGTTACCTCCCAGTTAAAAGGGTTGCATGTATTGTTCTTAAAGATACAGAGGGGGCATGAAGTCAAGACAAATGCTTTTCCACTTTGCAGTGCGCAGACTTGAAGCCCTTTTTATTCTCTGCACACTGCTGTCTGCCACTCAAGCCGCGAGTTTGCTGTGTTGCTCTTTGGTGCACTCGAGGCAGATGTACCAAGGCTTGATTTAAAAGTTTTTGCAGTCGTATAATGCTGTGCTTTAGCAAATGTGATTGTTTTCTTCTAGCCAACATCATTGCACCGGCATAACTGCTAATGCGGATGCACTTACAGTGGCATCACAGTGTATGCCAGCACAGTTTATTCCCCTGCCTGGCCAGGATTAAGCTGTTCCCAGATAGGTCCATTCATAC